ATAATTAGGACAAAATATCCTACTTAACTGTCATTGAAAGTGACACCATTGGCCAGGTGCAGTAGCTCACGCCTGTAATCCCAGCACTTTGGGAGGCTGAGGTGGGCAGATCACCTGAGGTTGGGAGTTTGAGACCAGCCTGACCAGTGTAAGGAAACCCTGTCTCTACTAAAAATACAAGAATTAGGCATGGTGGCCCATGCCTGTAATCCTAGCTACTCGAGAGGCTGAGGCAGGAGAATCGCTTGAACTGGGGAGACAGAGGTTGCAGTGAGCTGAGGTGGTGCCATTGCACTCTAGTCTGGGCAACAAGAGTGAAACTCCGTCTCAAAAAAAAAAAAAAAAATGACATCCTTATATCCTCCTGAATATATAGTATATTCGGTACCATGTAATGTCAGGAATTATTACATATTTATATGTAATTATACTTTTCATGGCAAGTTGGTTCTTTCTAATCTGAAGTGCTATCACTATTTTTGTGTTAAAATTATATTTAATTTTTACATATCAAGGATTATCAAGAAAAATTTAAATTAACTGGCTTTTCTCAAATGCATACTATCTGTGTTTTATATATTCAGAATAAAATTAAATAATAGAAAGTGTCATAGCGATAGTTTCTTACACTTTGCATAATTCTGGTCTTTACCTACAAGATTTTTTTTTTGAAAAGGCAAACACCAATTGAGTGTATATCCACACAGAAATGAAATCGAACAATATATTTACTGTCTGTTCATTCATAAATTCACCTAACATTTATCAAGCCCATGTTCTTTTTTTTTTTTTTAAATCTTTTTCTTTTTTAAGACCATATCTCACTCTGTCACGCAGGCTGGAATACAGTGGTACAATCCAGCCCACTGCAACCTCTGCCTCCCGGGTTCAAGTGATTTTCCTGTCTTAGCCTCCCAAGTAGCTGGGGATTACAGGTGTCCACCACCACGCCCAACTATTTTTTGTATTTTTTAGTAGAGATGATGTTTCACCATGTTGGCCAGGCTTGTCTCAAACTCCTGACCTTAAATGATCCACCCGCTTCGGCCTCCCAAAGTGCTGGGATTACAGGCATGAGCCACCATGCCCAGCCTCAGACCCATGTTCTGTTGGAGGTTCTGAGTATATGGAGATGAATAAGTGATCCCTGCCCCTAGGAATTTTCAGCCTGGGAGTTTGCAGTAAAATACACCTTGCTAAACAACTAACCCTGAAGTTTTAAGAGTTTAATTTTGGGACAAACATGTTTAAATCCCGTAAAAACAAAATGTATCTTTTTTCATCACTGACCCTGGCAGCTTTTCAGAAATGATACTTTACACATTGGTGAGTCTACCCTTGAACAATTTATTTAAATTATTAGGCTCGTTGCTTTATTTTACCATCAGATTCCCAGATCATCCTTTCCCTACCAGGTTTCATCCTGTAAAAAATGTAGCTCTAAATTAACTCAAGATAAAAACATTATTTTCCTCATTTTTATTTCCCTTCTTGTCCTTTTTGGCACGACCCAAAAGGGAGTAAGAATATAAATGCTTGTTCCACTTTTTTGAGAAAACAGAAAAGCTCCCATTCAGAGGTGCAGCTGGTGTTGCCCAGTGACGCTTCATGCAGAATGAGTGCAAGGCTAGAAGCGAGCCGCAGCCACACATGCAGCCGGGTGTGTGGTATTCCCCGTGCCACTGTTAAAGCACACGGCAGACTGGAAATCAAGTCCTGCATAGCACTTGATTCTTTTTTTTGCCACATACATATATGCATACACACATATACGTACACAAAATGAACAATTGCACAGTAACAGTTCCTACAACGCTCAGAATTAAAACTTCAAAAGATACAAAAAGTATGCTGAAAACTGAGTTTCCCTGTTACCTGCTACTCCTACTCGCTGTATCCCTCCCCAGAGGCAAGAGTTGTTCCAGTTTCTTATGTATCTTTCCAAAGAGATGCTGTCAAAAGCACCTCTGCCAGCCTGTTCTCTCTCCTTCCAAAGCCAGACACTTCATTTCAGACAATTGTGTATTCAAAGTATCCAGTTATATATTAAATATTAAAAGCAAATGACAACAGTGTGTACAGTAAGTTTCCATTTTGAAAATAATAGTACATTAGAAGAGAAATGTAATATAAACCAGAATGGTAAATGATGCCTAGGTTGGGGTGTGGGGGTGCACTTCCTTGGTAGCCACAGCAGTTTAATATGTGAACTTGTGAAAATAAGAGCATGTAATCGTTTCATAATAAAGAAATTGGTTTAACGAAAACAAATTCACAAGCAGTCTTCTGAATGTATAAATGTGTACCCGTGTGTGAAGAGTTTGAGTTTCTTTAGACTTCAGGCACAACTGGTTGCCTTCTAAGGCCCTAGTGAGTCATTATCTGTCCTTACTTTGAAGCAATGATAACAAGTTGAACTGAAAGTAAATTCTTAGATGTGGATAGTTTTTATTCAGATCTTGGATCCTTCACAAGTAAGTTAACCAAAAACAGGATAGGGAACAGAAAACATGGTGTTAAATCCTACACATTTTGAGTCCAAAATCCTGCTAGTGAATGCATATTATTATTTTCTCTCATATTATTATTGTTGGTGTAACCCAAGAAGCACAGCCATTTAACCACTTACAGTTGTTAACTAGTAATATTTTTCATCCTAACTAGTTCAGGCTCCTGGTTTCCAAATAGAAAAAAATCACACAAAATATATATACTGGTTAAGAATGCACTCAGCATGTAGCGTTTTTCAAGAGCAACTTGATAGAATATTCACAGTTAATTTTAAATTTAAGTACTCATTAATTGAGTGATCTATTTCTCTGAATGTATCTTCCGGTAGCAGTCAGTTTTATATATTGGGATGTTTAACCTGGTAAATTTTGTTTCTTACATTATTTGCAAATATAACAAACATGTAGAGAAACTTAGTGTCCAAAATAGAAGGATGCTGAATAAATTTTGCCATATAACTAGAGTTAAGATGGTATGCGATGAACTGTTATTACCCATCAGTAAATTAGGTTCTCGAAGATCAGTTGAGAACATGAGAAAGTATTTAAAAAATTATGTTATATCTAAAAGAATGATGAAAATATTCATATCTTACCTTATCAAGTATGTATTTGAAGGTAGTTTTTTTTGTTGTTTGTTTGTTTTTTTTTTTTTTTTTTTTGTTTTTTTTTTTTTTTTTTTTTTTTTTTTTTTTTCAGGATTTTCCAAGTTTTCTACAACAACTGTATGTTACTCCTTTAAAGTTCTAAGAATAGTTTAAATCATCTTAATAAAATTGCTAAAGAAAATAATTACTAAGTTTGGGATTTTTTCTTTTCTTTTTAAGCTGTGGATGAGAAGTTTTCTTTTTATGTGATTTTCTTCCCTCTTAGAATATCTGAAAATTCTACTGTTGAAGTATTCTTGCTAATACTGTTAGCAAGTTTTTAAAATTCTATTTTTGCATAATACTGATTTTATTCATTCATAGAGCTAAAGATGAACACAAAAAGGTAGTAATTCTTTCCTTGAGCCCAAATGCAGTTTTACCTTCTTAACTGCTTAGACAATACCCTTTTATTGTTTGGCTTTATAAATATCACTATAGCTACTTGAGTTCCCTTGCTTTAATCCTTTCTTGTATGAGGGGCACTTTTCTGTATTTTTACAAGTTATTTTTCTATCTTTCGTTTGTTTATTTTTTGTTTTAAGACCTATTTTCTGTGTTAGGGCAAAATAGCTTGTCATTATCTTTAAATTATATGAGATTCCCAGCAAAATCATTCAAAAGTCACAGGAAGCCTTTATGATCGTTGATCAGGTGTAGTTCTGTGTGTCTGTGTGTTTGCTTTTTATGCCGTTTAGTTTGTGTTCATAATACACTTATTGTGGATTGGACAAGTGGCATTTGTGTACATATGATCTATGAATGTGAATTGATAAAATACATGAATATACATCCTGATGGCGTTATGAAATGAAATACAGACCTGTGTGTGTGTGCGTGTGTGTGTGTGTGTGTGTGTGGTCATCGTTGACTGTGCTTGAAGTTCAAAGTCAGGCAGAGGCAGTTGAGTAAGTTGTAAAATAGCCCTTCTTGAGAAGGGTATGCACTTGAGTACGAAACAGAACTCTCAGTGTTAGTTTTACATTTCTGTTTGGTGGAATGTAAGGTTATGGAAACAACTGTAAAAATAATTTGTCTGAAAGAAGTCTGGTTGCAGAAATATAATAGAGAAAATATTTGCGAATATGGTTCATCGGCGAGTGCAACAGATACTCTTCCCCAAGCACCACATGGTATGGATCAAAGCATCCCATGACTTGGATCCGTGTGGCCAAATCATTACGTATTGATTGGAACCCCACTGGAGGATTAACCCCTTCATGTTCATGCCAAATTTTCTCTCACTTTTGGTGTTAGGAATTTTAGGAGTATAATCTTCTTTGCCATTATTAGCTTTTTTTTGAGCTAATCATCTGCTTGGATATATTTATCTTTCTAAATTATTTTGGTATTATTCTAAATTATTTAATTGTACTCTGCTGGATAAAATTAACTTGGGAAAAATATGTGATTATATGAAAGCAGTTTCAAGGGGAAGGAAAGAAGAAAAAAATGGATGATATTCCTTGTAGATATAGCATGAGAATCTCAAAATCAAGTACAGATTTTATAATTTTCATTATGTAGATGAAGTAAGTTCTAGCTTTTTAAAGACTCCTTCGCAGTCTGAGTAAAGAGCTTTGCATCTAACAAAAGCCCGTCAAACACTTTTTCATACATAGATGTATATTTCTAACATTTGACTAAACATATTTAGGTACACTTTAACTCTTGCTTTTAGCAAACAATGCAGAATTAGTCAATTACATGGGATGGGGGAAATCACAGATTTGTCTTGTCCACATTTGGCCATGTGGGCTCCTCCTACCTTTTATATCCTCGTCTGGTGGAATGGTTCTTGGCAGCAAATTCATTTTCTGGTCTTCTGTGTGCTTTCTTTCAGTTTGTCCCATGAGGAGCACCCCCATAGCCATCCTCTCTATGGACATGGTGTGTGCAAGTGGCCAGGCTGTGAAGCAGTGTGCGAAGATTTCCAATCATTTCTAAAGTAAGAATGATTTTATTTTTTTCTTCTTTTACATGCCATCACCTCCCACGAATGCTTTTGCTCATAAAATGCCTTTTTGATGAAGAGTTTCTCTTCACCCTTTTGCAAGTGGACTCTAAATCATAAGGTCCAGTGCACTGTCATAGGAATAGTTAAAAAATCTATTGAGGGTTGTACTACAATGGGAAAAAGACTTAGATCTAAAGGCATAAGTCTCAGTAAGAGCCTATGTTTACCCATTTTTCAGAGTGACAAGCATTTAAAAAAAAAATGATCCCAGTATTAAACTTGCAGTTATTTAGCTTTTACTTTTATTCATGTCCTTACATAAATCAATAACATGCACATTTTTATATCTTACAAAAATATAAAAATAATTTTATATTTTTATAAAATTGGTGTCAATTACTAGCCAATTGCATCTTGGTGATTGGGCCCATTCTTTGTTATACCATTGACTTTATAAATGTAGAAAGTGGATGCCGAGAAAAGCTACCAATTTGATTCTTAACTTCCTATATTGGTATTAACTTTAGTTCAGATTCTTGTCCTTACAGGGAGAGTGGACTAACTTTAATTTGAACCTATAACACCAATACAGCATCTCTGTAAGGAAATACGTTAATCTCATAGATGAAGTGAAATGCTTCTATGCTATTCCTTACTTGTGTTAACTTGTAAGTTAAAAAAGAAATTAGACCAAACTGCCCTGCATTTTTGTATCATATAAATATATTCATAATATCATTGAATCATTAACCTATGTATTGAATATAATGTTCCATGATATTATAGACATCATTTGATAATCAAACATATGCACATGTGTAACTATAACATATATGCCCATGTGTACATCTGGGCATGTGATGGTTTACAGATTGGGTGTTGGGGACCATTTCCTTCTAGCTTTTCTCTCTCATTCAAGCCCCAGGGAAACAGGGGTGAGCTGATTTATGTGCAGGTCTCCAGCTTTGTGTGGTCTTTATATTGTTAGAACAATCTCTGTATCTATCTTTATGGGCCTGGATACAAATATGGTAATAAAGCCATCCTTAGAGAGATATCCAGTGTTACCTGCAAGCAGTTTTGGTGAATATAATTTTTTGATTAATGAATGGAAGCCTGTGAATCTATTTTATAGCTTCCTTGCCTCAGTATTATACGAAAGCATTATGTGATCGTTGAAAACTTAAGTACTTACAGATATTTTAAAAGAGATGTCCAGAATTGCTTCTAAATATCAACAATCCTTTACAATTAATTTAAAAGCAGCAATGCTTTTAAATTAAGCAACAACCCTTTACAATTATTATTATTCAGATTAGTGATATTGGGCTTTGTTTTGTTTAGAAATCACTCACTATAGAATTTTTGTTTTGTTCTTTCCTCATCATTTGCCTAATCATATTTATATAATGAGAAAAAGAACTTGGCAGAAGCCACTTGTAAATTTCTGATTTTTTACTTTTATATCAGTGCTAGGTTTGATAAATATCTTGGTACTGATTTTCTCCATCCGTAGAATGGCTGATAAATAAACACCTGTAAATATGATTTATTGTCATAAAGTCTCTAGAACTATATAATTGCTAGCTCAGGGCCATGTATCAGTTTTAGAGTCAGAAAGGGAAACGACAGTTTCTAGACTCATTTAAAAATTTTTTTTAATGGCTAAAGTATTTCTACCCTAAAAAAATCCTCAAATTATAGGTTCATTTATTATGTGAGCTGATAATTAGGTTATATTATTAGGAGATTTTATATATATATATCTACCGATTATATATATATATATATATATATATATATATATATATCCCAAAAAGGAGAGAGAATGATTTCAGTATTAAAGAAAATAAAGATCATTAGAATTGGGGCCTAGGCTCAATTCCTGTATGAAAGTCCATTTCTCTTCTAAAGATATTAGGAGTCTGGCACTTGTATAGGAAACCACCTATCAATTATTTATTAATGGTTTTGCACATGACACAACATGTTCTCAGTTCCTGTTTGCTCAGTGGAATTGGAATGCCCACTATCAACCTGCAACTGTTGCTTAGTTATTTCCTGATACTTACTTATTGACTTATATTTGTAAGATGACTTTTGTTTGTAAGTTATAGAAACCCAACTTAAATTGGCTTAAGTGAAAAAAATAAACAAGTGGGGGATAATTGGCCCCTGTAGCTAGGAAGTCCAATGGTACAGCTGGCTTCAAGCGTGGCTGGATCCTGATACTTAACCAAGGTCGTTGGAGTATTGATTGTCCGTTAGCTCTGTTTTTCTGTGTTGCCTTCATTTGGGAGCCCTTTCCAAGTGGAACTGAAGAGGACAGATTTATCAATCCCACAGTGCACCTCTTTCCCTGTAGTTCCAGAAAAAGTTCTGAGCAGACTGTCATTGACCCAGATTGACTTATGTATTCTAGCTTTCAGCCAATGACCTGCCCAGGCTTGCATCACACGCCGGCTCTAGAACAGAGGGAGATGTTCACCCCACGTGAGCCACATGGGGACTGGAGATGAGAGTTGGTTCAGGAATATAAAAATGAATATTATAAAGTAACAAAGAGAGAGCAAATGCTGAATAAGAAGAAACCCCCCTAGATGCGTTCCCAAGTTACACATTGACTGGTTGTATATGACAAATCCAGGATTTCAGTTTTCCTCTACAATGTGGTTTTAACTCTTGGAAATTCAGAGTTGTCTTCAGGTATCAGGATCTTGCCGAGCACAGTGGAAAATAAATTAGTCTTCTTGTAGATTCACATCTCCCACTTCAGTCTAAAGGGAAATCAAATTGGCTTTGATGAAACCAACTTTGTTTTCCATTGAACTGAACTGAAACAAGCTAGCAAACTTCTTGTGGTTCAAATAAAAACCACCTGGCTTCTTTGAATGATGTCATTGGGGGGTCATTGTCATCAGAGTGTGATGCATCAAGTACTTTTCTCAGATTGCTGGATTCGTAGATCCTGAAAACATCTTCAGTTGTTTCAGTGGACCAAAAGCTTTCTAGTCTACGCTTCTCTTCAATTATCCCTCTCTTTTTAGAAAGGATTTCTTATTGGTTAGGCAAATTGATAGCAGTGTTGCTTGGATTCTCCTTAGTATTCTTACTCAATAAAAGGTAGCATTGCTTTGACCTTGATTTCAGTGCTACTTCATAGAGTTTTTTTTCACCTGTTTTCTATTCCCTCCCTAGTAATAGTTTATTATTAAATGGCACTGAACCTTAAAACAGGCATAATCCCAAAGTGCTTCACGTATATTAACTCATTTAATCCTCACAACCAGCTTATGCTAATATTGTAGTACTATTCCCAGCATACCGTTAAGGAAACTAAAGCCCAGAGAGGCTAAGTGATGTACCCAAGGTCACACAGCTAATAAGAGATGGAGCCAAGGTCCAAACCCAGGCAGTTTAGCTTGAGAAGACTTACTCTTAATTGCTGCATGATACTGCCTGGTTAGGGGCAGTACTTTTTATTAACTGTTTGCTTTCTCCTTGGCAGTGGATATAAAGAAAGTTTTGGAGAAAGGCTGATGGGGTAGTGAAGACATTGTTAAGATATTCTTTGAACTAGCCATGTATCATCTGCGCCTCAGTATCCGCACGTGTGATTTGGGATGGTAACCGGTTTTTAGGGTTGTTAGGAATAAACACTGCACCGAGCAAACCACAATGGCTCACCCCTGAATGCACTGGGATGCTAAGGTGGGAGGATTTCTTGAGGCCAAGAGTTTGAGAGCAGCCTGGTCAACATAGCAAGACCCTGTCTCTACAAAAATAAAAAAAATAAAATAGCTGGGCATGGTGGCGTGTGCCCATAGTCTTAGCTACTTGGTAAGCTAAGGTGGCAGGCTCACTTGAGACCGCAGTGAGCTATGATCATGCCAGGGTGCTGCAGCTTGGGTGACACAGCAAGACCCTGTCTCTAAAAGATAAATAAATGAATGAATGAAGAAAAGGTACGTCATATAAACTGCCTAGTCCACACTAGGCATTCTTTAAAAGCATTAGAACTTCTTAATATACTTAGATATATTTATTTTTTAGGATGGGTAATCTTAAATATCCCAAAATTTCTGACCCTCTACCTAGGAAAAGGAGTTGTGACTATACAAAGCATGGATATATCCAAAGAAATTGTTCTGTAATAGAACATTTTAATCATAAACCTCTGGTGAAAAGTCCCACACAGAGGGGAGGGCATGGCACATTTTTTCCATAAAGGGGTAGGCATAAATATTTTCAGCATTGCAGGCCATACAGTCTCTGTGACAGCAACTCGACTCTGCTCTGCCATTGTGGTGCAAAAGCAGCCATTGATCATGTGTAAGGAACAAGTATGGCTGTGTCCCTTGGACAACAGTTTGCTGGAACATTTTTGGTGTCACCAACATGTCTTTAGCTGAGGAACGCTTTTGTGGCTCCGGACATAGCTATCCAGGTTTATGTTAGCTTGGATTTATAGAACCCTCGAGTTAGTCATATCTGGGGGGAAATACCCATGTGTGTCATGCCCCATGACTTCATTGACCAACCATGATTTTCATACTTCCTAGATCTTGGGTTCTTCCACCCAGTTTCTAGTGTTCATGCTTGGGGAGAGGAAGTAACTTTGCCAGGTAACAGCTGTCTGGTCTTCCTCAGCTCCAGATTAATAAGCTGTAACTGTTACAGAGGCCAAGCTTGGTTCTCCAGGATAAAAATCTCATCTGTCAATACCGTGCTACTGTTAACAGAGAGGGGTTCATAGAACAGGGCCTGGGGGGAGGGGGGACTCACAGGTCTAAACCTGAAGCCTATTTTTCTCCCTCCTGAGGAAGAGATACCATAACTGTTGGTAAATCAAAACCGGAGATTTGACACTTTTCTGTGATCATTCTGCAGCGTTTGTTCCCAAGGTGAGGTATACCACAGGGCCCTTGATTTCAAAGATAAATACTGTACAAATAACCAGGCTGTTGTCTTTCCCTCACCGCCAACAGAGG